CAGGACAGATGTAGATGTGGCCATAGAACCCACAAGACTTGGTAACTAATTAGATAGGGCCATCTAGGGGACCCAAGAGCTAAAGGCTGATTGTTTCAAACTATAAGAACAGTAGCTTAGCAAAAAAAAAAAGAAATGTTAGGAGGTTTAGGAGAAAAGATGATTTGTTTGGGAAAACTTGGGCAAGAATCACACAGAATGAGAAAATATGGAAGTATTATAATTTGCAGGAGGAGAAACCTACACAGATTCAATAACATGTGAAAGTACAACTTATTTCTCTGACTGAAAGAAGCCATAAACAAATAGAAAGCTTTTTTGGAATATATATTTGGAATATATAATAAAAATAAACTAGATTCTCCTATTGCCCAGCTTCTTCTTCTATGTAAAATTAAATTAACAAAGAGAGAAACAAGAACCTCAGAAATAATCCAAAGGTACTGGCTAACATGAAGTTATCTGAAAGACTAGATGGGGTCAATAACTGTTTTTAAGGGAGAAGAGCTATTTATTTTAGCACTTAGGCTATAGTTTTAAAATAACTATTTTGTATGCATATAATATATGTATACGCATATATACACACACATACATATATATTCAAATGATGTGATGGATGTTACATTAATTCCATCTGTTTTGATTCCTATATATCTGTTATTTTACTTAATTTCAACAGGTAGTGTAATAAAGTATGTAGAAGGATAACTTTGAATCAATTAGACCTGAATGCAAATTCCACCTCTAATTATTATTGGCGGTGGAATCTTCAGCAAATCACAAGCTCTGTAAAAAAAAAGGAATAACACCTAAAGTACCTGTCTTACAGGACTGTGAAATTCAAGTAAGACAAATGTATGTAAAGCACTAGAGAGACCAAGTAATAATTTCTCTCTAGAAAGTTCCTATAAGATACAAAAGCTTATATATCTGGCCTAGAAACTGATGGAAGGGCCTTGAAAAATGAAGCTTATATGCTACAATTCCCTCAACACCTTCAAACTTCACATAGCACTTTGATAAACCTTGTATGCATTATTTTGTATTAAAACTCTTGGTGTATATAATACCCCCTAGAAGCCTTCCATTCCATGAAGCCAGATTCCTATCTAAACTTTTCCACATGTAGCAGGTGTTTAATAAATACTTATTAAATTAACATCTAAAGAGAAAAAGCCAAAGGAGAGTACCCCAAAGTGGGGTGGAGGAGAGAGGAAAGAATGGGAATGAGGGAAGGAAAAAAAGGGAAGCTTAAGAGCTCTGAGCTTTAATGGACTCCAAGGCTAGTGATTCATTATTCCTAATCCAGGACAAGTTGGTGCGGATGAGTCACACAGGTACAGACTCATTCCTTTATTTTGGCTTAAAAAGAAGCAAGCATATACTCAAAGAGCCATATGCGGTTCAGCAGTTTCAGACCCCTGGATTAACCAAAATGAAGTGCACCTACATGATTTAAGGCTGGAAGGGACCTTAGATCTTCAAAATCAAACCCCTTATTTACAGATGAAGAGACTGAGTTAAGTGATTTGCCAGGGGGAGAAAAGGAGAAAGTAGCAGAAGCAGGATTTGAATCCAAGAGTCCTCAGCCTGAAAACCTAGTGTTCTTCACTTTAACCATCTGGAGTCTTTGCTACAACTGAGACACAGAAATAAACCTGAATTTCTTAAGGTTCATACAATGCATATAGGGATAGGAACTGGACCTCTTATTTCAGTGAATAAAGTCACCTCTCAAGTGCAGATATGCTCTTCTTGCAAGTCTCTTCTCTACCAATGCAGGAGGGAACCTTCATTGCAGCTTAAGTTTTAAATAATTGCCTGATATACTGAGAGGATGTGACTTGCCTATGAACATTTCATATATACTATTTTTTTAAAAAATGAGGCACAGGAGGAAAGGAGGAATCAATTAAAAACAGAACCAGAGTTTAGTTGTTTATAATGTTCAAGCAAAGCCCAAGATTTACCTTTAGTTTAAACCTGAGAACAAGGTATCATTTCTAACTTCCCAAGCATATATTTACAGAATATTCAATTCTAAAGTCTATTCAAATCAAAACAAAATTTTCAAAAAAATTTATAAATATAATGATGTATTTAATAATATGCTGTCCATACATATTTTTATTGCTATACATACAAATTCAGAATTCCAAACAGAAGCTCCAAAAATTTGTTACTTATTTGTATTTAAATGCTCTCATTATAATTCTCATAATTCATTCAATAGCATTATAACTTAAAAATGATTAAAATTAAGAAACAATTCCACTAGCAGCCTAGTTTTGCAGGCTGAATTTATAACTGGTATTTCAATCTAGGCTTTACTCAGCTTTGACATAATTGTTAAATTTATTTAAAAAATCATCCCAGAATATAAGAAAATTTTAACACATAAGGTAAAATCCCATCACAATAAACATATTAGGAAGTAAAATGAAGTAACTAGTTCCATAGCTCTTTGCTGAATTAGTTATAAATAATTCCAAACCTCAGACGACTTAGGACAGCAAATGCTTTCTCTAGGTCCTATCTATCCATGCTAAGTCATTGTCCATTAAAGGATAGCGAGATTTTATATAGCTCTTTAAGATTTTCAATCTGCTCTGTATGTTATCTCATTTGATGCTCCCAATAACTCTGTAAGGCAGGTGAAGTACTATATCTGAATCTGTACTACTTGTACAGCAACTCTTACTTGAAATTCTTACATGAAAATTAAAGCTTCAACTGAAGAGAACCAAGCTCTTTGCTGTTTGACTGGCTATTGCCCTTCCACTTCTTTCACTTCATTTCTTTCTTCAAACATGAGCTAACACTATTAGGCCACTCACCAAACCATGGCACACAAGCCCAAGAACTACGGGAGACAGGGAGTAGCAGAGGAGGAAAATACCTCTTCCTGCTTCCAAATCGGCTTCAAATTTCTTTTTACTTACTAATATAAACTCATTTTCAAAGCTAGAGCCAGTTATCTGTAGACTGGAAATCTACTTTCTGATACACTCAATCCTTCCCTGATCCTACCACACTATTACAAAGAGTCTTTAATATATCTAACACATAACTATTAGACCCTTCACTTTCATACTTCTATTAAAAGATGGGACCTACAGCATAGCGACACCTAGTTCCATAACAATGTATTAATTCAATACCTGCTCAAAAGGAAATACAGGGAGGATTTGAGTTGCCATTTTCTAGGGGTCATATAGCACCTAGGCTGGCCATGACAAAGTGACACAACATTGTAAATTCTGCTATCTAAGATCAGCAGAACTTATTTAAAAAATATTGCCAGACTGAACTGCTTAGAATGTAACACAATGTATGAAACATGAAGATTCTAATACTTACATACTTTGAACTTTTGCTCAGAAACATTGTTCTTTATATCCCAATCATTAACCAAAAAGATGTTAAAATACAATTTCCATGTATTTAATTTGCTATGTCAGTTCTTAATTTTTGAGGGAATCGCATGAATTTGTGTGTAGTTTGACACGTTTTGTTGCTGTTTGTTTTAAAATTAAATAGGTGTTGAGATAATATGGATCAAAGAATTGGTAATTTCACTATGTTTACTTCCTGGCTGTCAGCACAAACCTGATGCAGATAGCTAATACCGGTAAATTTGGTGACCAAGAGAAAACAACCTTGTGCCCTTGGTTCAGCTATTAAAGGAACAAGGAGGTAGCTAGCATTTGGGATGCTTTAGCATCAGCAGAGAAGCCAAAGATAGAAGATGACACAATAACAAAGTTCCTTTCTCCTAAGAAATGAGCCCACCGGGTCAGATTAAGAAGGGATTTTGAAGAAAATCATTCTGAAAGCCAACCGGGAAAAAAAATGAGCAAAAAATAATAACTGCACTTCCAGGCTGCTTGGCATTTTGAAAACAACTCCTAGAAAGGGAAAGTATATTAACTTTACCCCACGTTCAAACTGGGGTGGCCATTAGTACAAATTGAAAAAGGTGGCCAGGGAAAAGATTCTATTAGCAACTAAAATAAGACACAATAGCCTACCTCAAAAACACAGGGTTTTATCCTCCAAGAGAAGTGGCTTTTGTTTCCACGGTTTTTCAAAGGTATCTAATTTGAAAGACTTAAAATAGAGAAAAAGAAGAAAGCAGCTTGAGGCAGTGAATAGATAGAAATTGCAGGAGAATGAGTTTGACTTGAGAGGGAAGGTAGTGAGATTTGTGAGGGACTTCAGGATGTGCAATGCATGGAAGGATGTCTACCTTCTGTTAGTAATGAAGCGGGTTTTTTTTAGTAGAGTCAAAATCTTCTGTGGTTTAAAGGAATAGACTCAGAACTCCCAAGCGCCGGCGGCAAAGGCACAACCTCCTGGATTAAAGCGCAGATTCTGTGTGAGGCAGACCCAGAGGAAACTAACCACTGACATCTTCAATACCACTAAATATCTGAGCCAGTTCCATTGTCTTCGGAGTGAAATGCAAAAGCCACCTAGGTGACAGACTTCAGCTCCCGAACCCAGAGACCTAAAAGCGTCTTGCAGGAGGGGCGAAAGGGACAGGGGCTGGCACAGACCTCCCCAGGGACAAGGGGGCTTTCTCAAGGTGCGGGGCAACGGGAAGACCCCCCGTGGTCCCTCGAGGAGCAAGCCTCGCCACCCCTGCCCGAGGGATCTCACGCCTTCTGTCCCTTTTGTAAAACCCGGACGGTCGAGCCCCGAAGGGGAGGGAAGACTGAGGCAGGGTCCCTTTCCTACAAATGGGGGTGATGCCACCCTGCCCCCCGGCCGGGCGCCGGGAAGGGCAAAGACGCCGGTCCCCGGGCCGGGGTGCGGACTTGGGGGCAGTCGGGTTTCCGTGCCTGCAGCAGCCTGGCTCGGCCCCGGTGCCCTCGGGTCGGACCCGCGCCCCGGGCTTTCTCCCAGGCCGCACTGGCCTTGGCTTCGGGGATCCGGCCTCTCGGTCCGCCCGGCTGCTCCCCTCCCCCCCCGGCGCCCGGGTCCCCGGGCCGCACCTCGGTCTTGGTGATGCGGTGGCGCCCCAGCTTCACCACAGCGAAGTTGCCCTTGCCCAGCGTGCCCTCGATGTCGTAGAACCCCACCCGAACCGGCCCGCGCTGCAAGTGCCTCGGGCCATCCGCCATGACCATGCTGGGCCCCGCTGCTGGACACGGGCAGACTCGAGGGCGGGCGGGCGAACGGGCGGACGCGGGCGCGGACACGGCTCCGGCTCGGGCTCGACAGCGGCGGCGACGGCGGCGGCGGCTCCGCTCGCTCCTTCGCCCCTTTTCCCTCCCGCTCTGCGGGGCCCAGCCAGGCGCGCGCCGCCACTGACGTCCGCCGACGTCAGGGAGGCCGGGATGGGGGTGGGGGAGGGAAGCAAAGAGGGGGGCGGGTCCGATACTTGATCTGTCACCATGGCGACCGGAGCCAACGCCGACGTCGGCACTGGCGCTGGGACAAGGAGGGAGTAAGGGATGGGGAGGGGCACACAAGGGCCAGGACTCCTCGCTCCCGACCCCGCCTCCCCGCCCCTTCGGGGAGGGGAGTGCGGTGAGCTCGGGGCTGCAGTGGTTGCTCTCCGCGGAGGCGAAGAGAAAGAGCGAGCTCTTGCGGACAGAGGGTAGGGGTGCAGCTACTGTCTGTGTCAATCCCTTTCCGACCCCCTACGGGGCTGTTCCCCCCTCCCCCCGAGATTTCCCCCGCCCTCTCTGGGACCAAAGCAGCCAAAATTGCTTTGCTGAGAGTGCAACCCACCTCGATTTGAATCCGCCCCAGAGCTTTAGGATTAAACTGACTTTTCGACTAGGACCGAGATCTGAGTCGAGGAGACAATGCACGGTGCTTAGCGCTGTATTATACAGCACAGAAGCAAGGCTGGCCCCTCCCTTCAAGGAACTTATATTCTAATAGAGTTAACGGGATGGGTGGGCAAGGAAGAGTGTTTTGGTTGGGGCTGGGGTGGAATCATGGAGATTGTAGACCCAGGGCAGCCCTTTCCTGAAGCGCATGTGTTGGTGATTTGATTGCTGTTGCCAGGGCAAGCCACATTTCCGATGGAAGGTGGTGTGTTGGACAGAGGGCTGCATCAGGACATTGGGGGAGGGGCGTGCAGAGTGGGTAAAAGAGAGAAGGCAAAAGTGGGGGAAAGGGCTCAGAAAGGGAACTGGGAGGATATCATAGAAAAACTTTGCCTATTTCTCAATTTTTATAAGTCTCTCGTGACCGATGATGTGACACTGAAAATCCTCGAGTAGGGTGCCAATGCCTCAATTGAGATATAAGAACTAATTTTGAAAGGCAGCTCAAATTCAATCTCATCTCCTCAGTCTATGATAGTCAAATTCTTCCTTTTTCAAGTCACCTTCTCGTCCAATCCAATCCCCCCCCAAAAAAAAGGAAAAGGGAAGGGAAGAGTAAAAGGAACTAGATATAAAGATATGTACCACCCTCTTAACCACAAATCATTCCCTCTCATTAGTACAGGACCTTTAAAATGTGTCTGATGAAAATGCTTTGGTTCGGCTGTATTTTACATTTCCTGGTGTAATCCTTTGTTAGACACTTCCTCCTGATATGCAAGGACCAAGTATCCTTTGGAAACATCTCTGTTTTTTTGTTTTTGCCCCCATTGAGAAGTTCCAGGAAATTCAGCATTTGGCATCCACCTGAGATACTGTCTAGGTTTCCTTTACAAGCACCTGGGCTCCAAAGCCTCAAAATATGAACAGTATCATTTATAAGTTAATGGAAAGAGATATGATTTGTATTTGAACCCATCGAGGTATCAATACTACCCTCCCCACACAAGTAATGTTTCTCCAGAAAATTTTACAGTCTCAATGACAGGTTCCAGACAGCAGTAATTGAGATTTGTTCCCCCAAATCAGTGTTTTCCTTTAAGTTTATCTGAGATTTGCCTCTTGCATCTCTCCTCCATGCCTAAAAGGCATCATTGGTTATTATTTCCCTTTATTGTTCCTACTTTTTGACCTCCTCCATTATTCTTCTATGGTCTCTGTTAATCCCCAGCAGGTGACACTTCTCTCACTGCCATTACTGTCTTCTGTAACCCTTGCTTCCTGGCTTCCTGTCACTTACTTCTCGCTAATCTCCACAATTTGGCTTTCCTTTACAAATAGCGTTTGTTTCTTTCCCAGGGAAGCAGATTGGTCACCTGGCCTATATAAAATAAGTCTCTGAGGGTCCTTTTTATATGTCCAACCCTTACATTCCATTTATCTCTAAGTCTTCTTTTGCACACAGCACGAAACCTCACATGATAGGCTTAATGGTGGGTTGGGGAGAGCATAGTCATAGCAGCCTCTCTTTCTTGCACCTCTCATATGAATCTTTGTCTGAAAACTCCATGCAGACTTATGGTGAGTCAGTACTATTTACCTTTATTTTCTCCTTCACAAAGCTATGCATCTTCAGCTCACATAAACATCTTGCACTGGGTCCTGGAGTTCAGAGAAACCCCTTTACTCTCTGCTTACTTGTCTTTCTATCTCATATCCGTTTCACCCCTCATTGTCCTAAGCCGATGGCTTAGATTAGTCAAATTACTTGGGGCTTCTTCTAGAAGGGAGGATAGATGGCACCAATTCATCCTCTCTGGCAAGAGATGATCATTGATTCATAGAATTTGAGAGTTGTAAGGGATCTCAGTGGCCGTTTGGTCTGATCCATACATGAAGGAATTCCCCAGCATAGTTTACCCAATAAGTGGTCATCTGGCCACCACTTGAAGAATTCCAAGGAAGGGAAACCCAACACCTCTTTAGGAAGTTAACTTAAGTATTGTACAACTTGTTAGGAATCGTTTCCTTGCTTCAAGGCTGAATTTGCTTCTTTGCCACCTGCATCCATTTTCAAATAGAACAAATCTAATTTCTTCTCCACATGACAGGCCTTTGAACATTTGAAGACATCTATTATGTCCCCCATGAATCATCTCTTCTCTACAAAAAGTACACCCTGCCTGTTCTTCAACTGATCTCCTCTATCTGGCATGAACTCAAGGCCCTACACTGTCCTGGCTGCCTGCCTTTGGATGCTCTTCAGCTTATCACTGTCCTTAAAACTATGGTGTCCAGAACTAAAGTCAACACTCCAGATGAAGTCGGATGAGCTCAGAGTACAGTGAGATCATCACCTTCCTATTCCTGGAAGCTCTGCCCCTCTTGATGCAGCTTGAGATTGCAATGGCTTTCTTGGCTGCCATATCACTCATATTGGGCTTGTAATCCACTAAAACCCCCCAGATCTTTTTCAGAACACTGAAAAGTTGTAACTTGTAAAGTTATTTATGCCCACATGCTTAATGTTTATCACTCTTGAATCTCATTGGATAGGGCCTAAAGCTCTAGCCAATCAAGATCTTTTTGGATCCTGTCTCTGTTATCCCTCCCAGCTTTTTGTCATTTGCAGATCTGATAAACATACCATTTATACCTTTATCCAAGTCATTGATAAAAATGTTAAACAGCACAGGACGAGCACAGATCCCTGGAATACTTCCCTGGAGACCGTCACATTGACCACGAACTATTAACAACTATTCTTTGAATTCAGCCATACAACCAATTCTGAATCTATTTGATTGTATTATTGTTTAGCTGCTATAAAGCTGGCCTTGAATCCAGAAAGACCTAGCTTCAAATCCTGGCTCTGACATCTACTTACTGTGTAACCCTGGGCAAGTCTCTTAATCTAAGTGTTCTAGGCAACTCTCTGTAACTAAGTTGTAGAGAAGGTGTTTGTGGCTTTTCATTATCCTTCCTGACTGTGATGTCAAACGACCTACTTAATGGATGGAGTTCCCTTCTCTAGGAAGTACCTCTATCACTAAATTGCAGGTCCAATGCTTACTCTTTATCTGTACCTCTCCATCTTCTCCATAAGAATTGTATGATATATGTTAGAGAAAAGTTTTGCAAAAAACTAGATAAACTTTATCCACAGCATTCTCCTCATCCTCTAGTTCAGTAATTTTGACAAAAAAGGAATGAAGTTAGCTTGGCATGACCTGCTCTGGATGAAGCTATGCTGGCTCTTTGTAATCATTGCTTCCCTTTCAAGATGTTCACCTTATCTCTAGTGAGCCATGCTAGTATTTTTCCAGTAACCGAAGTCAAGGTTTTGTAATCCCTGCCTCATTCATTTCCAAAGTGTTAGCATAAATAATCCTCTTAATTACCTTCTAAGCACTCCCTGTTCCCTCTAGTGCTTTAGAAAGTTAAAGTATGCCAATATACAAATAATCTTGTAAATTAATAGCTGGCCACTAGGTGGTGCAGTGGATAGAGTGCCAGGCCTTGGAATCAGGAAAATTCATCTCCCCAAGTTCAGATCTGGCCTCAGACACTTACTAGCTGTGTAACCCTGGGCAAGTCACTTAACCCTGTTTGCCTCAGTTCTTCATCTGTAAAATGAGCTGGAGAAGGAAATGGCAAACCACTCCAGTAACTGCCAAAAAAAAAAAGCAACAAAAAACAAAACGGGGTCACAAAGAGTTGAACACAAGTGAACAACAAGTAATAGTGATAATAATGATTATGATAACAATGACAATAAAAGTGGAAAACCTAAGCATAGAAGTTTTAGTAGATGAAATACTAGAGCAGAGTTCATTTAGAACAATGGAAGCAAGAAGAGAATGAAGAAATGGGGAAAAATGTGAGAAAGAGAAATCTCCTGAATCACAGTGATATATAGATCTATCTGTATGTATATATACATATACACACATATGTGTGTGTATTTTTCTTTTGAGACTAGATGCCTGTGAACTCAGACAACAAACGATGTGCTATTTTGCTTGCTTCTTTATTTAGGGGCCTGGTCCAGATTTTTGCCTTTTATTACTGCAAAAGAGAGTTAACACCTCCAGCTCTTTCAAATGTTCCTTACATGATATTATTTCTGGATGACTCACTATATTCTCTCCTTTTCTGAACCGCATTATGATTTGTCAACCTTTCTTCTTAAATGTGGCACCTAAAACTGATTGTAATACTCCAGATGTGGCCTAACCTGAAGGATTGCCTTAGAGTTTTTGAAACATGTCGTGCTGTTGGCTTGTGTTGAGTTTATGGTCAAATTCCCCCCCTACACCCACCACTCTCCCATCCTGATCTCTTTCATATGGACTACTATCAAACTAGGTGTGTCTTATCCTGTACTTTGGCAATGTAAATGCTAGAATTTATACTTATCTCTATTAAATGTCATCTTGTTGATTCTGGCCCAAGTTCCAGCCTATCAAGATAATTTTAAATTTTGATTCTATCATCCATTGCATTAACTATTCCTCCCA